GGGTAAAGGTCATTGATAATACCTATACAAATGGAGTAGAAATCTTTGATATTACCTATCCAAGAGAGGTAGAGATTTTCAGCTTTAACTACTGTTCAAGAAGAAATAGAAGTATACTTTAAAAAATCACTCCAACACTCACGTAATGGATCAATCTCAATCAAAATGATGCAATTAATGATATAATAAATGTTATCTAAAAGTTTCTTTTTATCTTACTATACTATTATTTATATTAAATTTTTATTAGATCGGAGTCTGAACGATAGATTCAATAATTACCTAGTTATCTTTAATGAGCTATCTTACCACATTTTCTACATATATACTTAATTAGTTTTCGGCAAGGACCCGAGGAATCACATTTTCCCAATAGGTACTAGTGTCAAAAATGTATTTTATCTCAGTTATTTTAGGATTTTTATATTGTAAATAAGTTTAACGTTAATGCGGGAGACGTAAATTTACGTCGGATCTACCATGTTCAATATAAAATGGTTTTCACCTCTCCGACGTTGTCAACCGGAAGCCCCAAGTCGGCTTCGAGGTCGTCCTCTTGACCCTCTAAGCGTACGAAACAACCTCACGTTTTGTATAGTCCAAATATACAACAACAAACTTAATGCACGAGGAATATAGTATGTGGATGATGAATGGATCAAGAAAAATAAAGGCAACCAGAAATGGGTTGTTCAAAACCCTCAAAACAAAAGCAACCACAAATAGCTCATTCAAAACCCTCAAATATATATACTAACCTCAAATGCCCAATGCAATCGGTCACAATGTCGGAAACGCTCCATAGATGTCGCGAAGCCGTTCGTCGGAGAGTAGAGTGGCCGGATATGCCCAAACAGAGTCGACGAAGCCTCGCCGAAAATCGCACCATGATTAAAGAGCTTGCTGTGTTGTGACCGAATGTCGCGCAAAGAAGATGAAGTGTTTGGGGGGAATAAAAAAGTATTTTACGTCGGACTACACTTGGGCCGACGTAAAATTGAAAATCTACGTCAGATATATCCCACATCCAACGTAGATTTTCAATTTTACGTCGGCCCAAATGTAGCCCGACGTAAAAAACTTTTGCTTTATTTTTAAAATTGTCACCGCATTTTTTTTACATCGGATATTTGTATGTTCGACGAGAAAAAGCTGACGTAGATTCTATATTTTGCACTAGTGAGGTTATTGTAGTTCTGTAATGCCATAAACTTGTTGTTATACTATAATTTTTGAAAAATGCTAATATTATGTACGAAACAGTTTATGTCAAGATGCACAAACATTTTTTTCTATTAAATAGAGTTTTATATTTTTTCAAAATATTAATTATTATTATTTAAAAAATAGCATTGGTCCATGATTGCAATTCTTTATTTTCATGCTAAAACTCTTTCATTATAACACCCCAATTAATTTTCATACTTTTTATGGAGGGTAATTTAGTAATTTTCATAAAATTTATTAAGGAAAATTTAGTAGCCCAGAACAGGCCGTTCCAAACTACTAAAAAGACCTATTTTGGGTAGCCTAGCACGGGCCGTTCCCATACTGGAATGGGTCATTCCAAACTATTAAAAAAGCCTATATTCCTATTTGGGAACGGGCCGTTCTAGTTTTAAGAACGGGTCGTTCCAAACATGGATGTTATGTGTTAAAAATCGACCCCAGAATGGGGCGTTCCAGTTTGGGAACGGGCCGTTCCAGAAGTGAATTTAAGACATGATAAGAGGATCCAGAACGGGACGTTCCGGATTTGAAACAGGTCGTTCTGGCCACTCTTGAAATCTATAAATAGCAGACTCTAGAACTGCTTCTAGACACACTCTCTGGAGACCAAGGAGAACCAAGGGAAGGAGATCAAGCAGATTCCGCTCTAACTTTGTCTTCTGCCTATCCAGGTAAGGAGGAGTGAGAAACCTTGCTCTGGGTGTGAGAATGTATGTTGGGTGGTGGGATTGGCCCCCAATCCTATGTTTGTTGTATGCTCATTTATGAGGAGTTTTTCCCAATTATATATGTTTCTTCTATTTGCTCTTCTTATATATGTAAATAACTATATGATTTGAGATCTTTGTGGGTTCCTATGGGAAAACCTAAGGGAGTGCATTGGTGATTGTTTGAAGAGGTAATTGTATGAGTAAATTGTACTGTTTGAAATGTTTATTGTATAAATTAGAGTGTTCTGTGGGTTCCTGTGGGAACCCTATGAGAAACAGACAAATTTTTAATATTTTCTGTTTTACCTTCTGATTGTTCTGTTGTATTCCTTGTCGAATGAGATGTACGAATATGTATTTACTTTCGCAAATAGACAAGTTTTGATATGAATTAAAGTGCTTTGTGGAGATTATGTGAATATGATATAATGTGAAATGTGAATATGGGACATGAGATATGAGGATATGTGATAACGTTACATGATGATGTGATATGATAATGAGACATGACGATGTGATATGATAATGAGACATGACGATGTAATATGATAATGAGACATGACGATGTGATATGCAAATGAGACATCATAATATGATATGAGAATGCATAGAATCATGATTGACATGCATCATTTGCATAAATGTTTTCAAGGGTACGATATGAAATACACGGCTAGGGAAGGCTCCCTTGTGTAAAAGCTTGGGGATTAGTCCTTGGGGATAGCTCGGTTTGTAAGTCTCAGTTTCGCCCATTGTGTGCATGGGATGTATCTTGCACAGCTTAGCTATCCCGACAAGACCCTGGTAGTATGCCCTTCTAGTGAGAGTGCGCAAAGGGTGTGACCTGACATATACTCCTAGACTACTCTCGTGTATTGCTAGCGAAAATGCGCCATGTGATATGTGTTACTAACGCCACATGCATTATAATATGTAGTCCGTAAGGATGGCAACGGGGCGGGGCGGGTACGGGTTTCATGATACCCGTCCCCGTCCTCTAATGAGTGGAATGTGATATTGTTGTTAATCTATTTATGTTATGTACATATACATGTCTTGTTTGTGTTTGGCTATCCAGTGTGTATTCCTACATCGTGAGTCAAAGTAAGATGTTTCTCACTCTCTTTTCTTTTGTGACGAAGCTTAGGCTTCAATGTTGGGCTTTACTTTGATAGGACATGTGACATCGGAGCATAGATAGGATTAGATTAGGATCTTATTCTTATTAAATTATTATGAAAAACTCAGTTTTATTTCTTTGTAATCCACTGACATGTTATTTGGATTAAGTTTATGAATGTGAACTCTTTACCTTTATATGGTTGGAGATTTGATTTTTAATGATGATGAATTTTTTTTTATATAATTATTTGTAAAGTAAGTGTTGCCCTAACTTATATACTCTTTAATTATTTCATTTTCAATCGATGTGGGACTTGAAGTGTTTTTAAAATATTAAAATTATAAATTTAAATATTTTTTGATTTTTCTTGTGGATAAAATTTTGCAAGAAAATCTGCAAGAAAAATTACCTATGAAATTTTTCTACCATTTAGTAAACATTACTTGCGAATTTATCTTTGTAAGAAAATCTACAAGAAACAAAATAAAATTCTTACAATATTTTCTGCAAATTTTTACCATGGAAAAAAATTTCTATAATCATTAAAATTGTAGCAAAATTTGCAAAAATTTCTTGTAGATTATTTTTCTTAAAAAATTTGTAAGAAATATTTGTAAATTATTTTTCGTAAATAAATTCGTAAATTTTTTTGTGAAATTATTATTGAAAAAAATTTACAAAAAATTTATACGAATATTTTTTTTATAGAAAAATTCATTAAAAAATCACATTTTTCTAGTAGTACAAATAATACTTATGTAAATTTTAAAACTCTTTCGTACCAAATAGCACTTATGTAAATTTTGGTAGTATATGGACCCTAAATCCAGCGACTGGTTGCTGTAAAATGTATGGAAATTGTAGATAATTTTACATTGCTCGATTGATATTAGATCAGCTAATTTTGCATTCTATAGCGATATGAAGTGCCCAAGACAGATTCAAAAGACAACATTAACACTAAAAGTTTCAACTACAAACCAAATTTGAAAAATCATAAAAACACAATATTTCTGTTTTCTTAGAATTCAATCAAATAAATTTCCACAATCAATTTCGAAATCTAATCCTGTCATAAATAGCATTTGACTGAATTTGAGTTAGTATTACACAATTAATCCACGTGGATTAAATATTTAAATTTTTGTACTTGAGATTTTGGTATGTTTGTCAAATTATTAACAGCCAACCACAATAATTCAAAATTATTGGTTGTTAGAAAGTTGAAGTTCTTTGACTACAGAATCACAAGTACTATGTTTTTCTTTAAATAAAAATTGAATTTATTCATAATTTATTTAAAGTTACACTTGTTGTCATGGAATGACTAAATACAAGGATGGAATCACGTCATGGCTATAGGAGTAACATGACTATCTCGTGAATGAATTTTAAAACATTTTACGGAAATTAAAATAAATATGATTTTGCTTTCATCAAAATTTTAATATTATGATATTTTATTCTTTTAAACTTTCATTAATCTTATAATTACTTTAATTAATATTTAGATTTTCATCCAACCATATTATTCGTACTATATAGAAAAAGAAGCATTCTATATATATTTGTCTATCTTTTAAAAAAAATATATAATAGAAAAAGATAGGGGTGGCTACAATGATGAAAAATTAAATATATATATATATATATATATTATTTAG